CTCAATACCAAAGAGTCTCCTGTGTGCAGGGGCCACTGTGAGCCTTAGGGGGACAATGAATGGCTAAACGACTCTTGCTGCTGTCAGAGATGGGGGATACTCGGAGGAAAATGAGACCAGAACTGGAAATATGAACAGGCATAATCCAAAAAAAAAAAAAAAATCCAAAGAAACAAAACATAAACACACAAAAGGTAGGGGCTGAGGGGAAGACCCTGGCCTGAGCCTAAGCTGACCCGGACACACGAAGCCCTCACTGTCTATGGTCCTGAAGACACAATATCCAGGTGACATCCAAGTCCCTGTGATCACAGGTCCTGGTGCGACAAGGTTCTACTGAAGGGACCAGAACAAAGGAGCAGTGAAGATGATCCAACCAAGGAGTGACCACATCAAAGCCCACAATACACTGAACACCAACTGGGCATAGACCCCGTCCATGCTCGGCTCCTCACAGCCTTCTCCTGCCCCCACCCACAACCGACTCAAGACAGCAAACACATGAATTCTGGAAGGTGCTCAGTGCTTCCATTTATTTCCTCTCTCAAACTTTAGGAAATTTCTCCTTTAATTAACACATCAATCCCTTATGACAAGAATTAGAAAAAACAGATTCATATCCAGATTCACATTTTCAGTAAGGAAACAAGTCATTACTACTCAATGCAACACGAAGTAAAGACAGGGATGGAAATGGCCCAGCCCTGCCTCTGCTGGAACAGGAAAGTCCATTAGGAAAATACACAGGTCATTGTGAGGAGGGGTCATGGTGGGAAGCGGGTGGACCAGTCTCCCCACCTCCTCACATTATGCTAATATTAACGCAGACACATTCAGATGCCAGCTGCAGAAAGAGAAGTCAGGGGATTCTGGAGTCACAAAGTGGGAGCGTGAACAAATCTTGCATCACTCAGTCCCCCACAAGGCAGCTGTCTCACACCGTGAGAGAAAATAATCATGAACACATTCAGGTCAGTCACTTAAGTGTTGACATTCTCAATAGCCCACCACATGCTTAAAATGTCCCACTCAAAGAATTCCCATAACGCAGTCCTGTCCCCTCTGACCCAACTCCTCCCCCACTTCAGGCCTCCAGGGTCTCACCTTTAGGATCCGTGAGAGACACATCAGAGCCCTGGGCACTGTCACTGCCTGGGGTAGAACAAAACAGAACGTGGTCAGAGCCCATAGGAGATGAGACTAAAGGAGGAACTACAGGGTGGGTCAGCTCCCCCATGGGCTCCGTCTACACTATCCCAAAGGTCTCAAGGATCAGCCCCCCAACCCAAACTTACTTGCAGTCTGAGCATAGCTCCCTCTTTGTTCACCTGTGGGAAGAAAACAGGGAGAATGCTGAGCCATGAGACACTAGAGGAACTGCCTAGTCCTGGACCACAGGGAAGTTTCCAGAACCATGACTGAAGATCCAGGGCAGGATCATGAAACATGAAGAAAGGAGACGTGGGGGGACTGGACCAACTGCCCTCCTGGAGCTCTGTCCTCAGCAGGGACCTTCAACTGCTGGGAATCAGGTCCCCAGCACTAGAATTATCAAGGTGAAAAAAATCTGTCTTTCATTTTCACAAGTGCTTTACAGAAGACTGTTAGTAATCAGTTCCAGATTGGCCAACACGTGTACGGATGGTACTTCCCATTGATGAGGCAGGGCAAGTTCTACCTGGGGCTTGAAACTGCCCAGTGGGACAAGAAAGCTCAGATCTCCCACTCCCTTCCCTACCTGAGCTCTTCTTCCTCCATATCACAGCTCCAGCCACCACAGCTCCAGTGACCACTGCTCCAAGGAGAACCAGGCCAACAATGAGGCCCATGATGGGGATCGTGGACTGAGGCGGCGGCTCTGGGAAGGGAAGGGAAGGTGAGGGGCTCTGATCTCAGGCTTGTGTCCTGACCTTGCTGAAGGTGTTCAAAAAGCTTCTGAGAAAAGGCATCTCTCCTTGTCCCCCTCCTCACCCCATCTCAGGGTGATGGGCTCAGACAGCCCCTCCTGCTGCACATGGCATGTGTATCTCTGCTCCTCTCCAGAAGACACAACCACAGCTGCCCACTTCTGGAAGGTCCCGTCCCCTGCAGGCCTGGTGTCCACAAGCTCTGTGTCCTGGGTCACATCCTCCCTATCATGCTGCCAGAACAGGGTGATCTCTGCAGGGTAGAAGCCCAGGGCCCAGCACCTCAGGGTGATCTCTCTGTCAGAGATGGGGTGGTGGGTCACATGTGTCTTTGGGGGATCTGAGGAGGAAGAATCAGAAAATTCACACTTTCAGTTACCTCCATGCGCCACTGAAGCATCATTCATGTGACCATCCTGATTATGGATACGATGATTGGTTTGGAAAGAGGAAACACAAAACGCAGACACCAGTTTGGACTTGGGGATCTGGGATAATCTCCTATCCCTTGCAAAGCTCTAGAATCAGGGTGAGAGCCCAGGATAGGAGTCTCCAGCTTTCTAAAGAGGAGAACACAGACTTCAGGTCTTGACCTGGGTAGAGAGTGAATGACTCAGAAAAGCTGGAGTCAGACCTGCAAAGATGTTCTCAGGGTGAGAACAAAGCCTTGAGAGAGAAAGTCATGGTTCACAAGATGGCTGTCAGGGTCAAAGGGAACCAGTGATGGGCGATTTCAGGGATGGTCTCCCCTTCTATTTCTGAAGAAACTGGATTCCTAAACTGTCCTTCAGAAAAGGGTGGGCCTTCTGGGCGAGTCACTAGTACACAACACGAAAACCTGTGTGGATTCCTCTGTCTCCCGAGGGGTGGTATTCTGACACTGAACCCATTTTCCTCCCCTCTCTGTTGGATGCCAGCCACAGCGGGAACGGAGATCTGGAGGCTCGGCGGCCCCTCGTACCTACGCGCTGCAGCGTCTCCTTCCCGTTCTCCAGGTATCTGCGGAGTCACTGCACGCACTCGCCCTCCAGGTAGCTCCTCCAGTACTCCGCCTTACCGGCCGCCTCACGCTTGAGCCGGGAGATCTGAGCCGCCGTGTCCGCCGCGGTCCAGGAGCGCAGGTCCTCGTTCAGGGCGAGGTAATCTTTGCCGTCGTAGGCGTCCTGCCTGTACCCGCGGAGGAAGCGCCCGTCCGGCCCCACGTCGCAGCCGTACATCCCCTGGACGGTGTGAGACCCTGACCCCGCCGCGCGGTCAGCCCCGCCCACTCGGCCCCGCCCCCGACCAGACCCGCAGCGATTAAACCTAAACTGAAAATGAAACCGCGGAAAAGTCCCCGCCGGCTCTTCCCAGGTTGGGGGGGCGGGGCAGGTCCCGCAGCCTCGGGGGGAATCTCGGACCCGGAGACTCGGGGAGACCTCGGCCCGTCAGTGGGGGTGGGAGTCGTGACCTGGACCCGGGCCCGCGTCGCTCACCCGCCTCGCTCTGGTTGTAGTAGCCGCGCCGGCTGTTCAGACTCCCTCGGAATCCTCTGCAAAGCCGTTGGCGCGCCGCGTCTCGTCCTCCCAATATTGCGCCCCCTCCTGCTCCATCCACGGCGCCCGCGGCTCCATCCTCGGACTCGCGGCGTCGCTGTCGAACCGCACGAACTGCGTGTCGTCCACGTAGCCGACGGCGATGAAGCGGGGCTCCCCGCGGCCGGGCCGGGACACGGCGGTGCCGAAATACCTCAGGGAGTGGGAGCCTGGGGGCGGGGAGGGGCTGAGACCCGGCCCGACCCCCCTCCCGGCGCGGGTTCCCCGGTCCGAGGGTGATGGGGCCGGGAGGGGGCGAGGGGGCGACGGGGTCGTCATATGGAAGCGGGGCGGCGGACGGACAAGGGCGGGGACTTCGGGTGGGAAGAAGTGGGGGCGGGAGAAGAGAGAGGTCTGGACGGGGCGGGGCCGAGTGGGGAGCGGTCTGGGCAGGTGTCCGCGGAGACGCGCCTTCCCCGAGGGTCCTGCTACCCCGCCACGCGGTCCCCTCGCCCCGCCCCCCGCAGAGGCCGTTTCCTCCTGACCCCGCGCTCACCTGCCCAGGTCTCGGTCAGGGTCAGGGTCCCCGAGAGCAGCAGGAGGAAGGTTGGGGGCATCACGATACTCATCTTCGAGGTCTGGGGAGAATCTAAATCTTGGCGGGTCCGTGGAGACTTGATAACCCGGAACCGGGGAGACGCTGATTGGCGTCTCTAGAAACCGGACACGCAATGGGAGTGAGAACTGGGGCCGCGTCATGAGTCTCCAGGCGGGAGGACCTGACAGGTAGTGAGAGGGAGAAGTGAAACTCGGGGAGATGGGGACTCCCCAACACTGAGCTTCCCCGTCCCAGACACCGCCCTCGGGCTGAGACCCTGAGAGCCACGTCCGGGGACCTAGGACTCTGCCCTGACCCCTCTCCTCTTACACCGAGAGCTCTTTGTCACACTCTCTCCCCGAGTCCTGGCCTAGGGGCTGTATGAGTCAGTGCTTCTCAAACACTTGGGCTTCATGATATCTATACAGTCTTACAAATTAGTTAGGACCCCAGGGATGATTTTGCTTATGTTGGTGATAGCTATCGATATTTACCATACCAGGAATAAAAGTTTTTAAATATTTTTATAAATTTATTTAGAATAATATTTATAACCCACTGCAGTAAACAAATAATGTTTTTCTGAAAAATAACTATTTGCCAACATAAACAAGGTAGTGAGAAGAGTGGATCTTTTCACATTTTACATTTTTGCATGTCTTTTTCTTGTCTGTCTCGTTAGAATACCACTGGGTTTTCATATTTGCTCTGCATTTAATCTGTTATTTTGGTTGAAGTATATGAAAAACAATACGGCCTCACACAAATATGTAGGGATAGTATTTTTAATAACCTTTTCAGATAATTATGGATGTTAAACTTTGTTACTAAAGTAAAACTACACGTGTGGTAGTGTCTCAATGGTTATTTGCAAAGTAGAACCTTAAACAATATTATTGAATATTTCCTATTCTGTTACATTAAAATCCACAGACCTATTTTGCATATTGAATGGCTCTTGTAGTAATGTATGATTTTTTTAAATAATGTGTTGTTTCACTAAGTTTTCACTAAGTTTCACTAAGATTGTGTTTCACAGCACAATCTTCCTGTGTTGATGTGTTTAACTAAAAATTATCAAAATACCACATTTGTTAATATTACCGCAGATCTCAACAGGAAGTTTGTCAGTACTGGGAAGCTGTCAAGCTTATGTGGTGGGACACAAATTTTCCAAAATTCTGGTTTTCTCTTGAGAGCTTCCATTTTATCAAGGCAATAAGTACTGTCAGTTGATTTTCTTGAAAGGAGAAGCTCACATTCATTTTGAGAAAGTGTGTGCCAGTTAACCAAGTCTAATCATAGTTTCTGTCATTCATTCTTTTAGGTAAAACTGGTATTCCATAAAAAAGAGGCTAGCTCAGCTCGCACAAATTATTTTCGTTGGGACGTAGTACTTGGGTGCTTTATGTGTACTTCCCACATCATCATGTAAGATATTTTTTAAATGTGGATTTAAGGATAATGATTTGGTAAAGATAATAATTTTTAATTCTTCAACCAGTATGTTTTAAAATAAAAGTTTTTTTTTTTTTTTTCCTTCAAGTGATGGTGAAGATGACTACTATTGCAATTGGGTACCATAGCCTCCATTCTTACTAAGTGTCACCTCAGTGCAAATGTCAACGTAAAGAAAAGACAAATGATGTCTAGTAATATTAGGAAAATAGTTTTGACCTCATGAATCCTGTGGAAGGGTCTCAATGACTTCAAGGGTTCCACAGACCACAGTTTGAGGGTTGCCATTCTGAATAAACCAGGGAGAATCTCCCAACTGGTCCCCATTTTTGCATCCTGTTCGTTTCCCAGAATCCTTCTCCCTGAGTTTGGATTTTCTGCCTCTCAAAACTTAGCTTCTAGCATTGCCCCTGGTCTCCTCTGAAAGAGAACACAACCCATGGAAAGTTGATGCCAGAGAGTGTCCTCAGTCAGTGTGAGTCTGGGAAGGAAGGTGGAGGGACAGGTGTTTCCCTTTGGAACTGAGAACAGTTTGTGCCTAAAGGCACTAGACTCACTGATAACCTATTTTGATTTTGTTATACACCAGCTTATTATGTATTCATATCTCAGACAGAAATCTGATGTATCTCTAAGAGAAATAATATTGGCCCTTTCATTTTATGTGGGTCTAAT